ACGGCCCAGCAGTCGCGGTCTAAATAATCCTGCCGTGAAGGGGTTAAACCTCTAACTTTTTGGTATTTCAGGCTCGCAGCACAGTTTTTCCACTTTGAAGGCAACTTCAATGTAATTTAAAACCTTCTGAACACTGCAACTGGCATTTGTTTGAATTCAGTTGATTTTTCTGTTGAAATTAGACTGTGACTAAAACAGTTAGTGCAGGGAATGCTGACTGAACGCTTACTTGAAAGTAATTTCTTTAGAATACCTGTGCAATTTCGGATAATTTCTGAGGTGCATACCTGTTACCATACATGGCAGAGCCTGGAGAACCCATATAGTCACCATTCTGCACATTGCCGTATTCATCGATATAGTCCGGAGTCACCACACCGTCGTACATCTCACCGTCGTCATACCCTGAATGCATTCAACAACAATAAAATCAGCTGGTCAAGATCACTGATTCTGGGACATTAACAACCTAAGATGGAGCTTTTAATAACAATTACAACTTTCCATATTTGGTAGGTCCAAGTTGAAGAGCAAAAATTTCAATATGACCATGTGTCTTGCTAACTTGTAATCGTTAGGACAACGGTTATCAATTTCCAGTCTAAGTCGGACAAAGTGTGGTCAGAGGTGAATGATTCAGAGGACATACATCCTCTGTCACCCTCGTGCATTCTCTGAGGACATCTGTCATTGTCTGCAACAGCGTTAACAATTACTAGCAGTCGGTTAGGGAATACAGAAGAATTACCATAGATTATAGTCTGAGAAGTCCATCTTACCTTGCTGTCCGTAGAAGAGGTCAGGCCTGTCCAGTATGTCCGATTCCTGGATGTAAGGACTATATCCCTCATCGCCGTACATCATTCCATCGTTCTCATCCATCTGCCGTGACTCCACCATCTCCAACCACTGGGAGTTGTGCCAACGGAACTTTTCCAGCTTGATTTTCTTAGCCCACTCTTCGTCAAATTCCTGGAGGCAAAATACAGGTAGCGGGCATTTATATGGAATGCTGATTTCCATTGGTTGATAACAAGCTCATCTTTGCATCCCTAGAAAACCAGTCCCAAGAAATACTATCATTGTGTATATCTTTCCAAATTCCAACATGTGACACAACCTAACAAAATCAAGAGCACCCGGGCAAATTTTTCGATTAAATCAATAAAAATTAACAGAAATGCTTGAAATCAATGGAAACTGTGAACATTTTAACCAATGTAATGTCCATTTTCACATGGATTTCAAACTGAGAGACACACAGAAACAAAGAAATGAATACGCCTTTTTTTAACCCCTTCACGCCGGGACACGTTAAACACGCCGTAAAAATTGAGATCCTCAGCCCGCTTTTCAGCCCACGCTCGAGTGAACACGATAG